GTTGCACGTGGACCCCCAGTAGTCACCGGAGAACTGAAGTGTAAGGTGTGGTTAGCTTCGCGCCACCAAATCCATCCCCAATGCCAACAGAGCAGTCAAACTCCTGGGGACACACCAGGCATGTCCGAGTAGAAGGACACACCAGGGACCTTCAACGACTGTGCTCTTCTGGAAGATCACCAGGGTTTGCTTCCAAGATGGACAAGAAGTACCAGCCTTTCAGGATGCTGTGTCCTGCGAGGGGAGAGTTTTCAGCAGCATCTTTTGAGTGAAGGAACTCAAAGACTGTGCTCAAGAACATGAAGACCACAACTAGAATGGTGGGGCCAGCCAAGTGCGAACAACGGGTGAATGGGTCAACGAAAGGTGGTATGTCTACACAGTGGAATAGTATTCACCCCTAAAGAGAAACGGAAGTGCCTCGAAGTGCATTGAGCCGTGAACACAGTATGCTGAGTGATTCAAACAGCAAACATTGTATGATCCCACGCATACGAAATCTCTAGCACAGGACCATGCAGAGGTAGACGTTTATGTGGTTACCAGGGGCGGGTGGGAAGGGGAAGGGGAGTGGCTGTTGAATGGGGACTGAGTTTCCGTTAAGGCTGGTGAAAAATAAAAATTGGAAGGTTGGGGGAAGGATGGAAGGGACCAAAATAGGGAGTTTAACATGAAATAAACAAATAGATAAAATAAAACATTGCTTCATGGGGGGGGGGGGGGGAAACCCTCCAGATTCCTTGCCCCCAGATCTAAATATTTTTTATTTGATTAATCATGTTATTGGGAGGCTCTTACAAATCTTATGACAATCCATCGTTCGATTGCATTAAGCACACTTGTACATATGGTGCCATCGACATTTCCAAAGCATTTTCTTTCTACTTGAACCCTTGGTCTCAGCTCCTCTTTTTTCCCCCTCCCTCCCCTCCCCTTTCGCTAAATATTATTTTAAAAGGAGGAAAAGTAAAACTGACGTGGACTTGGAGTCTTTAATGATATACAAGCTTATTTCAAACATACACAAAGGAAGACTGGTGAAACTATTGGAAGCAGGTAGTTGGTGACGAAGCATGGAGAATGTAATTAATGTCACTACACTACACACATAAAAAAATGGCTCAACAGGAAATGTTTTGTTACAGATATTCCATTTCAGTAAAAACTCCTCTCTCCTCCCCACAACCAAAACAATGCCAACCATAAAGGGGTTGTGACCCTGAGACTCTTCCCTCACTCCCTGTCTTTGGCATTTACTCTAGTACTCTCGTTACTTATTTATTCGATGATGTGCCAGGCACTGCAGTGCCCAAAGGTCCCACTGTCCTGGAGGTCACCTTCTATGCCTCCTGCTGACTCCTGACCAGGAAGGTCCCTGACCATCAGAACCCACAAATGCATCCCCACACTGTCGTAACTTACAAACCCCAGACCCAAGACAGAAATGCCTATCTCCAGGGTGACACTGGGCATCCGGCACCCGGGCTTCACAGTGGGGTGATCTTAGTGTGCCCACAGTGTGGAAACTTAAGATGAGCAGGTTGACAGGCTTTGCCTCTGAGCCGGATGCTGAGAACAAGAGCAACCCCAAGGTGAAGGGTTCACCTGGGGCACCCTCTCAGTTCCTCACTCCCAACTGGGATTCACTGGGGAAGTTTCCATAGGTGCAGAGTCCCTGGCCCGGATAAGCACTATTTCAAGACAAATCATAAAAAGATGGCCTTTCATTGTAAACGAGAACAAGACGAACAGGAACTGCGCCTGGGAACAGCCATGAAACCTGGAGAGGCTGCAGGGTAGCCTGCTTCTTACAGCACCGAATTAGAGAAAGGGGCTTCTCCCTCCCTCTCTTGGGATGTGATAAGCAGCCTGCAAACGAGTACTCAAAGATAAGCTGCTGATTAACCACTTCTACAAAAAGATGCCCGAAGGTACGGGAGTCAGGCAGGCATCAAGAGTGAGCACATGCATTCATCATGCCGCAACCCCAGGACCTCCCTTAACCATTGCACATATTAATTTCTCCAAGCCCCAAGTGTCATATCTAAACATATCTAAAGAGTCACTGATTTTTTTGAATTACATGATGATAAAGAGTTTTTATTTCCGTTTCCGGTGACCCCCCAATGCTTCTGAGTCATGTTTGTGAATGTGACCACAGTTGTACGTGTGTATGTGAGAAACACAAACATCGCCTCCGCTTGGATGGCAGGAACCTTTTGCGAGGGGGCAGACGCCGCACTCTCACGTAAGCGAGGGCCGGTGGCAACACATCCCTGCCTCAGTCAAAGGCACAGGCTCGCCTGAGGGAGAAGATCCTGTTTCTGCCTCCTGCTGCCCAGGGCTGCTCTCAGAGCCACCACTTCCCTTCTAGTTTCCAGCTGCTCCCTGGTTCCGGAAGGTTTGCCCTCTCGGCAGTGCTGCAGCACTGGGAGACAGGGTCCTCCTCTCTGCAGAGGGCAAAGTCTCCCGCGGGCTTTCTGAAGAGCCAGGTTGGTGGTTCTGAAATCACTGCCTTGACCACACCACCAAGCCGAAGCTGGACTTGGCACGATGGCCGGTGGAATGGGGTACGTTTTTCAGCAGTGTGTGCCTGCCAGGGCAAGCAAAAGAGCTCCATGGGAATGGATGAGCCTGGACACAAGACAGCTGGCCTTGGGCTACAGGTGGCGCAGGGCTTTTGCTGTATTCCTAATAAACAAGGGAGCTGCAGAATTCAGTTTAAATCACCAATTGAGAATGATGGGGTGGGGGTGAAGGTGGGGGGCTTCCTTCAGGCTCTTTCAAATTTGAGTTTTTGAAGAGTTAGAAATTGCCTCCTGCCCTGCAGAGCCTACAACTAATAGTACCCATCACCCCCTCTCCTTCCCCAGCATGTCGGAATACAAAACTTTGCCCAATGAAACCCACTCAAAGTAGACAGATAAGTGGAACTTAGCTGAGCAAGGAAAAGCGGTTTGGGGGTTGTTGTTGTTTTTTTTTTAGAAGGAAATGCTATATTTGTGAACATGAAAAGTAAACCTGTCAATTAATTTCGTTATTAATATTTGGTCGAACCACCTCTGCCAACTCGGCCAGGACATGAACCTGGGGTGACACAGGTGTGAACTGCAAGGTGGCAGGTGTCACAGGATGAAATAGACTAAACCTGGCCCCCTGCAAAATGAAAGTGGAGCATTCACTGTGGCTTTTGACACGGTCACTTTGATCAACAGAAGGGACTCACTTGCTCAGTAAAAGGCTGCCCCTTTTCTGCACTTTGCTATTAAACTGACTGCTGTGTGTTGGGGGTTCGCGTGGCATTTGGAAATCAGTGTGCTCCAGTTATGTTTTTAATAGGGGAGTTTAATGCTTCTGAAGGGTTTGTGGATATTGTATTTCTTTTGAGCATGTTTGTTGTCAGTGTGTGTTGTCAAACCCATTCTGACTCAACCACCCTACAGAATGGATTAGAACTGAAACCTTTACGGAAGTGGGTCTCCCAGACTTTTCTCCCGGGGGGCTTGAACCACCAATCTTTCATTCAGCAGCCTAGTGTCTAATCCACCAGGACTCCTTGAGGGGCCATGGTAGCGCAGTGGTTAAGTGTTGGAATGCTAACCTCGAGGTCAGTAGTTCAAAACTACTAGCCGACTTTCTACTCCTGTAAAGACTTACAACAGTGGTTCTCAACCTTCCTAATGCCGCGACCCTCTAATACAGTTCCTCATGTTGTGGGGACCCCATAGGTGGGTGAGTCTCATGTGGGCAGACCCACCTGGAGACGGATAGAGGAGAGGTGTCTCGATTCCTAAGACCATCAGAAAAATGGTCTTAGGCGACCCCTGTGAAAGGGTTGTTCAACCCCCAAAAGGGTTTTGACCCCCAGGTTGAGAACCACTGCTACGGTCTCAGAACCTCGCAGGAGCAATCTTACCTTGGCCTATAGGATCCCCATGAGTCAGAATTGACTCGATGGCACGGAGGTCTATTGTTTTGGTTTGTTTTTTGAGTCTTCTATAGAACTATGTTACATTTCTACTATAACATTGAAGGCGGGGAAGCCCAGCACAGAGCATTGTCAAAATCCTTGATAAATCCATTTGAAGGATTTCTTTATAAATATCAAATCTGAGCCTTAGATCAGATGCCACCTAGAGTCCCTGCGGAAAACCTTTCCAGAATAAAACCGTGCTGCAGTCCCGTATCCAGCACTGCGTCCTGTCTAGCTCTTGACCCCAGGAGTTCAATTCCATCAGCTGAGATCCGTCACAGGAGAGACGGAGCCGATTACTAGCATTCCTCTGGCCACATACGAGGGGGCTTCTAAAAGTTCAGGGGGGAAATGCTGTTATCTTCTCAGTCCACTCTTCCACGAGCTGTTGGCAGCCCCCTCGGGTATGTTTTGGTCTAACAACAACAACACACAAACCAATATCCCATCAGAATTACCCCGCCCACGCAGCAACATCTGAAGTCTGCTTCCTGGTATCACGGACTGCATTCTACCAGTCTTCCAGACAAGGGGAAATCTTTTCTTGGTGCTAGACATTCTGATTAGAAGCAGAACCTCCTTTTTTTGATCTTTAACATACCTGGCGGTGGGGGTCATGGCCAAAAGGAATGCTCCCCTCCCCACCCGCTTTAACGACTGCACCCCAAACATTTTCACGAGAAACCATTTCCCAGTGGGACACATGCAGCAGACAAAATATCAGATGTCTTTTTCCAGCTGTCCGGTTCCCCGGGGGTGGCTCTGCCTTCTATCTGCCTTTTGCTATAATTAGGACAGCTTAGGGTTTATCTGGGCCTTTTGTCCAAACCAGAGTCCGGTCCCCGCCGCAGCAACAGCTGTCGTTCACAAGGCCCGGGTGGTACTGGGAGACTCAGCCTTGAGTTCCAGGATGGGATGGCCAGCAGTCACTGACCAGGGGCAGTGGGGGGAGTGGAGGGGGCAGAAGCTGCGCATGCAAGGACCATGTCTCTTGGCAGTTGAGAAAAGGGGTGTGGGGGTGTCTTACCTGCGGATCCCTGCTCTCCTCTGGAACCCGGCTTGCTTCCGGCAGATCAGCCAGGAGCACCCCTTCCCCCGTGGCATCTGCACCCTCTCCTTCTCTGGGGAGCGAGGCTGTTGGTGTCTGCAGGTCGCGTGCATCTTGCTCTGCCGTGGCATGTTCACCCGAGCGGGACAGCGGCCGAAGACCAGTGGCTTCCGCGGTGGCGTGAGAAGGGTCCCCTTTGTTGCTCTGCAGCCGTGGGGGCAAAGCAGGATCCCCGGGGTGCCGATCCGGGGTGCCTTCTGTGGTTCTTCCTCTCGGGTGGCTGTCTGGCTTCTTGAGTTTCCCCTTAATTCCTGGTCGCCTGGCCCTAACAGGTTTCTCTCCGTCCTCGCTCCGGGCGTCCTTCTCCCCAACTCTGCTCTGGGCCGCAGTCACCCCCCATGGGTGTGTCCCTGCCCTCTCTAACTCACCCGGTGGCGTCTCAGGCGGCGCCTTGTCCATGGTGATCAGACTGTGGATGTCAACTTCCTCGCCTGGCTGACGGCTGTCTATGGTTTCCCCTTGAATTCCTGGATAAACACAAGCAGCCCGGGACGCAGGGGCCGGTGTCGATCTCCCCTGGCCTGTCACCGGGCACGTCCCCTCCTGGTGAGGACCCAAAGTCAGAGTCATCCCTGCGTGTGGAGGTGAGGGGCCGCCGCCGCCACTTCTGAGCCCCACTTCTTGGGGCGGAGAGTGATAACGGCAGGAGCCAGGGGTGGCGTCCATAGGCCCAGTGTTATCTGACACCTGGGACCCACGGTCCACCTCCCTGAGGAAATGCCCACCCCCACCCCAACCACACTCCCTGCAATCCTGCTCTTCGTCATGGCTTTCCAATAAAAACACACACCCCGTCCCTTGCAGGTGCCGTTGCCAGACGGCATTAGAGTAATCCGTCATAACATCGGAACATTCCAGATACTCCAGGTCATCGTCCGAAAACTCCTCCGTGTACGTTCGGGCTATCTCTGGGCAAAGTTCACAGTCACTGTCCGAGTGCTCGCTGGGAACGCGCAGTGGGCAGGGTGGCTGGTGGCCTGGGTGGGTGGACGTGGCCACCTCGGGGAGTGGGTGGCTGGAGCTAATGTATTTCTGAACTCTGGGCTCCTGGTGGCCAGCGTTTAGGGGGTCCTCCTTGGGCCCAAGGTGGTGCCAGGTGGGCTGGGATACTTTGGAATGCTGTGTTCGGTGGCAATCTCCATTTAGGTTTTCGGACAGCCCATGGGAATGGGGGCCAAGGACCACGTCGGCGACTCCCTCTGGGTCATTTGTCTCGTAAGCCACTCGGGTTTGCCTCGGGTCTTCACCACCCGAAGGTGTTTCCAGGCGGGAGGTTTGAATGTTGCCGCAGGTTTGCCGCTGCAGGGAACCTGGAAGGCTGGGTGTTTCCGGCGTGGCATCAGCAGACCTGGGAGGGCCCAGGAAGGTCCTCTCCTCTTCCTTGTAAGGATGGGCTTTTGAATCCACTTGTGGGGCACTTCCGGCCTCGTGGGTGCCTGTTTCATGTTTCCGACCTGTGTGGGCATCACCTTTCTTGCTGGGGGGCAGTTGTGGGTCCTCGGGAGAGCTCTGGACTTCGATGTGGGCAGAACAGCAGATCATTCCGAAGCAGTTCTGTGCGGAGACTTGGTAGACGGCAGCGTCATCCGAGGTACAGCTAGGACAGAGACAATAGACCGGTGAGTCGACCCGTGTGGGTGCAGCATGCCAATGCTTTCCACACCACAGTGCAGGGAGACAGGGTCCCTGCTTTTGCCCGAAATCTCAGGAAGACTGGTGGTCACCTTGGGGTCACTGACCCTGGACTGTGGCTGGCCCTGGTACATCATCCTGCGACCACCCGTTTCCCTAAAAGCATGTCCCACTCTTAGGCCAAGCGGGAAAATGCTGAGAATGACTTAAATGAGGGCAATGATTCTCATGCACACATATCCAAGTTTCTCCTCTCCTCCTTTGTCGTTGTTTTTATATTTTGGAATCTGAAAAGGCATCATTTTCTGGAGGGAGGTGTTCACACACACACAGCCTGGAGTGTTCTACCGCGAAGAGCCTCGCAGTAACTCTTCCTCCGAAAACACTGAGACGGTTCTTGCCAGGAGGCTGTAAAGATAATAACATCCCGGGGAGAGGGGGCTATCTCCTCTTCACTTTCTCGTGGCTATGTGGTCTCTACCGTGGCCCAGTGAACCCGTGGCTGGGAACGCGTTCTCATGCCATCTGCCAGGCCAAAGAGCCAACGAGCCCTGGGCCGACCAAGCCCAGTGCTCTCCCCACTCCCGATGGACAGCGCCCCCCATGGTACCTCCCAGTATTGGGCTGCATGGAATCCAAAGCCCTGACGTGTACCTCCCACACCTGGGTCCCCCTCCAAGCTCTGCACCCCCAACGATGACATGTTACGTAAGCCTCCTAATCGGTGCTCATTAATCTTATGTAACCTCATACCTGCAAGATTGCCAATCGCGCTCCCTGTATAACTCAGCTCAGAAATCAGCAGCCGTTTTCAGAAGGCAGAAACGGAGGCTGGCTTGTTCTTCCTAGCAACGCTGACGTCCGTCTTGAGTAACCTCTGTGTAAGCTCCCCAAACTCACTGACATTGAGTTGATGCTGACTCATGGCAACCCCACAGGACAGAGAACTGCCCCTGTAGGTTTCTGAGACTAATTCTTTAACTGGAGTAGAAAGCCTCGTCTCTCTCCAGGGGAGGGGCTGGTCGGTCCTAACTGCTCCTCTTGTGAACCACAGCCCAACACGTAACCATTACACTGCCAGGGCTATGCACCAATATCTAAGCCAGAAAGGGGCAGGGTAGACACACAAACACACACAGTCTCCTTCATCCTTTGTCCTCCTCACTGCCATGCAGCCCAGGTGCTCATGAGCCCTTAAAAACTGGGCTTCGTTTTTCAGTCAGTCACTTAAGACCTTATTTCTTGTAGGCTGGTCACCTGATTCCCAAGTAGAAGCTGCTCCGGGGAGCCTTGGGGGTGAGGGAGCCTTCCTTGGTCAACAGCAGCAGACTCACAGTGACCCTGCAGGAGAGGGTAGAACTGCCAATGTGGGTTTCTGAGACTCACTCTTTATGGGAGTAGAAAGCCGTGTGTGTGTGTGTGTGTGTGTGTGTGTGTGTGTGTGTGTGTGTGTGTCTCTCTCTCTCAGGACAGCTGGTGGTTTTGAACCGCTGGCATTGGCATTGCGGCTAGCAGCCCAACCCTTAACCACTGTACCTCCGGGGCTCCAACGTAGGAGAACTGAAATTCAGGGCAATCACTCTGTCTTGTTCATGAGGTTCTTCTGAGGTTCAAATGAGAACTCAATAAGTCAACATGCAGGCGCTTTGTCAAGCGGAGACCTTCTAGCACGATGTGTTCTGTAAGGATGCGGCAGTGCTCAGGCCAAGTTCCCTCCGTGGTTCTCCAGCCATGTCCGTGACAATCATGGGAAAGTTACATAAACTTCCCAGATCGGGGTCCCTCCGTGCAGGGCTGAGGAATCTGCTTTAAAAGAGCCCCAAGATTCTGAGAGAGATCAGTTTGTCCCGGGGGACAGTCTCATGCTCATCCTCATTAACAAGCTGCAGTGAGAGATGTGTCTTTGGGTGCAGCAGAGGAAGGTAACTTGTGCTGGAGTTCCTCATTGCCCATGAAGTATGGACTGTCCCCTTCCCCCGATATGTGCTGTAAACCCTTACCCCTGTGCCTGTGGTTAAAATCCTAGTTGGGAGTGGGTTTTCCTTCTTATTTTAATGAGGCAGGATTACTAGAGGGTGTGCTCTAAAGCCATCCCTTTTTCAAGATAAAACCGGACGTGGGAGAAGATTGATGTGAAGCCACAAGCAGATGGCCAAGGAACAAGGGTCTTCCTGCAGAGCCCACAGAACCGGAAAGCCTTCTCTGAGTGCCAGTGCCCTGAAGTTGGACCTCTAGCCTCCTAAACTGTGAGAAAATGCCATCTGTTTGTAAAAGCCATTCCTTGTGGAATGTCTCTTTGGGCAGCACTACCTAATACCTAATTCCTAAGTCTTTCTCTTCATGCCCCCTGTTAAAATCAATGCTTTGGCCTCAGTTGAGTGCTTTACCACTTGCCATCGAGTTGGTTCCAACTTCCCTGTATGCCAGGGTAGAACTGGACAGCAGGGAGTTTTCAATGGCTGAATTTTCAGGGATAGATCACCAGACCTTTCTCCCAAAATGACCCTGGGTCAACTGACACCTCTAGTCCAGCCCAGTGAGTTAACAGTGTCCACCACCCTAAGCCTCCAGAGAGAGTCAACAGGAGCTGCTGGGAAATCTCAGGGAATTCATAATCCCTGACCTCGAGTCCTCTGTCCAAGAGGCTACCCACCCTGATGGCTACCAAGGTTTCTGTAGAAGGGGGGCATCAGGCTTGAGCATATAGAATGGGGTCAGAGAGCACAGAAGGAGAGGAATACAGTGATTCTCCAGAATTGGGGAGGGGGTGCAGGGGGGAGCAGAGGGAACTTCCAAAAGATATGAACTGAAAGTAGAAAATTCCAGAAAGATATTTACCTGTGTCTTATGGACTATGCATATGCATTCCACTCTGTGGATCACAAGAAACGATGGACACCATTTCAAAGAATGAAAATTCTGCAACACTGCGTTGTGCTCATACAGAATTTGTACACAGACCAAGAGGCAGTTGTTCAAACAGAATAAGGTGATGCTGCCTGCTTGGGATCAGGAAGGGTGTGTTTCAGCACTGTGTCCTTTCGCCATATTTAGTCTGCATGCGAAACAAATCATCCACAAAGGTAGAAGAAGAATGTGGCATCAGGATTGGAAGGAGGCTCATTAACAACCCGTGATCTGCAGATGACACAACCTTGCTTGCTGAAAGGGCAAAGAACTTGAAGCACTTCGTGATGAAGATCAGCTGTAATCAGCATGGTTTTGCTTCAACAACAAAGAAAACAGAAGTTCTCACACCTGGATCATTGGAAGCTGTCAAGGATGTCATTTGACTTGGATTCCCAAGCAACACCCTTGGACGCATGGTCAACCATGTCTTGCAAGGGGGAAATCTGTTACAAAAAGACCATCTTAAATGTCACTCTGAGGAGTATGTGCACCGAACCCAAGCCATCTTCTTTTCATTGGCCTCAAATGCATTCAAATGCTGGACAATGAATAAGAAGATCGAAGATGAATTGATGCATTTGAATTAGGATATTGTCGAAAATACTGACTAAACCGTGGATTGATAGAAGTACAAACACACCTGTTTGGGGAAAACGGACAGCCAGAATGCTTCTTGGAAGAGAGGAGGGTGAGACATCCTCTCATGGACTTTGGCCAGGTTATCAAGAGCCTCTTGTCTCTAGAGAAGGATATCATGTGGAAAGTCTTACGGATCCAGTGGTGGTGGAAACAACTCAGCACTGGCATGGATCTCCATGTGGCTCTTCCAACTCCAGGGCTCCGACTGCCATCAATGTAGCTTCATGTGACTTGTCAACAGGAATGTGTAGCATAGTGTGTGTGTCCTGCCTCCAGCAAGCTATTTATCTCTGTAGTGCCTCCAAATGAGGTCATCAAGCTCTGACTTGATTGACAGGCTGAACTCCACCTCTTCACTCTTAATAGTCTCAAGTTGACACCAGATTATGTAACTAGCACAATGTCCAAAGTATGTAAGATGCCATTTACCTTGAGTACATGGAACTTCAGGAATTAAATCTCCAGGATTGGTCTAAAACAGAGCAATATGTTGTCCTCAGTACTTCTTTAGATAAAGATAGATGATAGATAGATGATAGATAGATAGATAGATAGATAGATATACATATACACACGTGAAAACATGTTTTCTACATATTCAGCCATTGCTACCCATACAAAGCGGAGATGGGTGACATCCTTCAAATTGTATCAACATTCCCCTTTTTTCCCATCAGCAGCTTCACTCCATTAACTAAGCCTCATTGAGTGCCCCCCTTTCTCATCCATATTCAAAGTAACCACTGACCACGTGGTCTCTTGCAGATAAGGTTTTTTTCGCGTGTTGTACTCTGAAGTTACCATCTTTGTTTTTGAGCTAACCTGCTGTTTAGACAAACAGTGACTTCAAAGAGAAGTTTAGCTCCGAGGTTTAAAGAGTCTCTCGGGGCAATTTCCTGGGGGATGCCTCCAGTCTCCCAGGGTCCCATACGTCTGGATCCTTGGAGAATTTGAAGATGGACATTTTTCTCCCTTTCTATCAGGACGCATCTACGTGTGCCTGATCAGAACCTTCTTTGGGGGTGGGCGGACCCTATCTGGTTCTTCTGGTCAGAAAGCAGAGGAGGCCGTGGTTCGTGGACGCCGTGAGCCTGTGTTGCTGTCCCTTCTCTGATAGGGGCTCTCCTTCGTCCTCTGCTGTGTGCCAGATAAACAGAGACCAATAGCTGTTATCTTCACAAACAAACAAAAAACCCCACTGACCTGGAGTCAATTCCAACCAGCAGCTATGGAGCAGAGTAGAAAATGCTCCTTACAGTTCCTGAGACTAAAACTCTATACGGCCCTTTATTCTTTTAGACAAAATTCAGGACACCAATGAATTGGTGCTTTGGTGCATTATAGCCATCAGTATCTAGCCTATTTAAATGAAGAGAAATAGAAAACAATTCCTTTTAAAATAAAAATCTCTCTCTT